GATTTTTTTTTTACAAAATTGAAAAACAGGCCGCTCGGACATGGCCGGCCCAAACGGGCGTGCTGCGTCTACTCCCTAAGCGCAGAGCGCAGTATAGTTGGTCCCTGCAGCATGGGACGGCTCAGGCGGGGATCCCCCATGTGAAATGTTTTTAGCACTTATAGGTGGCATTGGTACGTCTCAAAAAACAAGATGCCATTTGTGGGTAATATTTTGCAACTTTGAGGGCAATTTCCGTGACGTACCGCAAGAACCAATAACCGTTTATTATTACTAGCAAAAGGGTCCATGCGCTGCAACGGGAAGAAAATCTCCAATGCTCATGACCATATTTTGTTGCATCACCGAGATACAATATCACTGAAATCATGGATATTTTTACAAACTCGTGAATATATTTGAAATCATTATCATTTTTCAAATTCGTGATTTTTTTTACAAATTTGTGAACATTTTCTAAAATCAAGGGCATTTTTCTAGTTCATGAGAATTTTATTCAATTTCTAGACATTTTTTAATATTGTGAACATTTATTAGACAGTTTTCATGAATTGGGAAATATTTCTAGAATCGAGGATTTTGTTTAGATTTGACGAATATTTTTTGAAATGCATGATTTTTTTTGAATGAGTGGACATTTTATGAACGGATAAACTATTTGTAAGTCACGCACAGTTTTTGAATTTTGAAGATATTTTTCCATTGATGAAAAAATTTTTAATTGGCAAAATTTTGTTCAATTTCATAAAAAAAATAGTACACGGATTTTTTAAAAGAATCAAGAACATATTTTTTCAAAATTTCATACATTTTTTGAATAAGCCAATTTTTTGGTTACAAAATCGCAAACTTTTTTGTATCCACAAACATTTTATGATTTATTAAACATGTTATTTCGGGATTATCATTTTCTTATTTGTTTGAAACTTTTTTGAAGTCCCAACTTATCTAAATTTGATAAAATAAAAAGTAAAAAGCTACTTTTTAAAAACAAGCCGTCCGGAAGTCCCTACTGCATGGGCCGCCCTAGGCAGGGGGTTCCCCTGTGTAAAATATTTTTTTAACATTTATAGGTAGCATTGGTTGGTATAGTTTGTAATTTTAGAGGCAATTTCTGTGACGTACCGCTAGAAGCAATAGCCCCTTTATTATTAGTTATAGACTAGCAAAACGCCCCTGCATTGCAATGTGAGATTTTTTTTCATAATCTCTAATGGCCATGACCATATTTTGCTGCATCACCGACAATCACTATAACTCTCAATTTCGTGAATGCGTGAACATTTTTAA